CAGGAAGCTTCAGTTAGGGAGAGGGTGAGGATAAAACTATATTTAGGGGGTCAATATTATTGAGGCAAGTTTGGGAGTTGAAAACGTTATTGTGTCGGAAAGAAATGACGAAGACCTCTCCCATTTTCAAGTAATAATAGATTGCCTATAAGGGGCAAGTCTCAGAGCTAAATTCAAAAAATATTTTATACAATATAATGTCTTTTTTAGAGCCGGAATCCATCGAACAGATGGTGCCATAAACTAACTCAAAAAGCCTTCATAGGAGGTTATTGAGCATCTCTACATAAAACTATTCCGATACATTGTCAGACGAGCAATAAAATCCCTTATATCGTTAAAGATATTCCTAATGATAAATTAGAAAAATTTCTTAACTCTGTGGATACTTTATCCTGCAGTACTGCCGAGTGAGAAAGGGGCTTTCACCTTATGATTTTGATCATGGTATATTATATAGCGAGTATAAGAGTAAATAATTTGTCAAATTTAATAATCATAAATATTAATTAATCTTCGATATCAAGATAGACTCCACAGATCCATGTATCTATAAATTTTTCGAGAAAAATACAACCCAAAGAAAAAGAAAGATTTATGGAATTTTTTAATTTCTATAGGCATCGGTGGTATTTTGTGATCTTAATTTTATGTAATACAAATAAAATAAAGAATTTATTCATATTCATAATAAAAAAAAATTTGATTTTATATATATATATTTTTGATATTATAAAAATAAAAATCGGAGCCCCCCCCCCCCCTTATGCCAAATTTTTAAGCAATACACCACTGCCTTTTACATTTTATACCGAATAGGATTAACCAGATAGTTAATGCATCCAGAACGTTTATAAATTTGGAATCATTTCCTAAATGGGAGGATATGTTGATGAATCATGAATTATAAGCCGAAGGTTTTTTGGGGAAAAGGGGAATCTCTCAAATATGGAATAACTGTCTACCAAGATGGTCGTGGAAAATGGCATATTATTAGTTAAATATTACATAGAGTCGGCAAAGAGCATGTCTTACCGGACGCGTTTCTCAAAGAAAAAAGTAATAAATTTAGATGTCAGATAGCCAGGTAGGCCTATCCAGCATTTAGTTACTGGAAAAATCAATAATGAGAGATGCCCCCTACGCATAAATTTTGAAGAAGGGCTTATATATGAGATAAAAAGACTTTCATAAATATCATAATAATTAATCTTTTTCTATTATTTCTTTTTTTACATGGTTTCAACAAAAAATAATAATAAAAAACCTTAATTTATAAAAATACATAGTTGCTGTGAATATAAAAATACTGGGTATTGATCGAAACGAGCTAGCAGTTGAGCATAACATTATTTATAGGAACGGCAAGTAAATCCTCTCAAGAAGGCTTAGCTGATAAGAATATTTATTATCGACCGGGAGTGACATTTATGAATGATCTTCCAATTGTAGTTAGTGGCTGGAGTACAACAAAATTTAACTTATTTCAAGAATCGTACAGGCTGCCAGCCATACAGACCAACGGAAATAGCAGATGGACTATTGTTCTAATGGAGTGTATGCCCAGTCTTAGAAGAGAGTACACATGGATTTAGAAAGGTTCTTTAGCCTTTTACTGGTTTTCAAAGTAAGCAGAGGTAGCCTAAAATCAATAGTGCAGACCCACAAGATAAGAAGGCAAGGTTAGTATTTTTTTGAGATTCATGCCAAGGCAAAAAAATAGGTTTTGAAAAAATCAAATCCCTCCGCGAATAAGATAGAACATGAATCATGATCGAAAGTTTAAAATAAAAGTTTGAATAATTTAGGCCAATTTTAGTTCAAAATGAAACAATCTTAGGAAAAAGTTATGGTACTAACATCGTAGATAGATAGAACATAACAGTGCCTAATCATACTGAATAATCGATAGAAAGGTCCGAATTCGTTTTTTTCACGAACATATTTTTAGAAACGTCTTAAGCCGTCTGAAACAATAAAATTCAACATAATTTTGATAAAATAATAAATAAATAATATAATTAAAATTTATCAAATTATTTCATTTATTCCTCGATCTTGATGATGGTACCTTTTTAGAATATTAAGCAAAGCCCGGCCTGGTAAGTATTTTTGAACGCTTCCCGACCCGTTAAATCTTTTGCCAGGCCTAGTCTAATTTGTCCGGTCCGGCTAGCAGATTTTCTAAAATCTCAATGAGTATATTAGGTCATGAAAATTATAGGGACTGCAAAACCCAACTTACCTATTCGTGGGTTTGAAAAATATTTACTTTCTTGTCGTAATTATTTTTACAAATTTAAATATGATCAGTGATATAAATAAATATGGTTTGATTACATGATATTTTACAATTTCGTTCATTTTACATTATTTCTTATAACATCCTCATTTATTTGTCAGCAATAACTCCCAAATATTGTTGCATGTGATTTTAGAAAACAAGAAATTTTTTGACCTTGAAAAAACCTTAATTTTGATAAACCATCAAGTCAAATAAAAATCTTTTTACTTGCAATTCAAGATATTGTTGTGAATATTATTCAGCTTTTACATGGACTTGTTTCTTATGATTTTACTAACTTCTGCAACAATATTTAAAGTTAACGCAGACGTTGTCATCGCAGATTGTGGTGATGGGGCCGCGGTGCCCATGGCTGTTGTCCAATATAAGTGTCGTGGGTATGAGTCCTGTGTTTTCCTTATGTTCTTATTTCAAGCTGTATTACCTCGGTCTCTGCTTCAACTCACCCTTTATATAGCATCGTGGCTTATAAATTGTGAGTTGCTTTATGTGAGTCCTGTGTTTTCCTCATGTTCTTATATCAAGTTATATTACCTCGGTCTCTGCTAGAAACTGACCCTTCCTCTAACTTGAATATTATTTTTTCCTCAGTTAGCTCTAGTTTATTTACTCCAGTACCCATATTCAAGGCATATCAAGTTATACTCTGTCTCAACTTAACCTATGTCTTATTTCTTTAGATGAAGTTGCGATTCTCGATAATCCTTTCAATGGTCAACGTGGGTCACCCAATTGGAATACGTTTCCTCCTTTTTTGACTCCCGCGGAGAATTCGGCGATCTTGGCATTTATCATGTAATAACTTGAATTTCCTATTAGCGCTAAGGGGTCAGCGAGTTCGGCCTCCATACGTATTCGTCATCTGGCAAACTATGAAGGAACGCTGGAGATTTTTCATCGTCAAAATTGTTACAAATTTTGAAAAATATTTCTACTCTCCCTCATATGCGTTGAAATTGCTACTATATTTAAGGAATTCTAGCTTGATCAGATCAGGCATTATGTCTACGCTTCTTTTATTGTTATCATGTTTGTAAAAAATATCAGATCGGCCGATATTTTTAAAAAATATGACCGATATTGATTTTATGCTTATTTTCAGAAACTTAAAATAAAAGGTCACTTTTAAAACGTTAAATAAAAATAAGTCATTTTTAAAATTAAAAAATTTTTTTTAAGCCCCCTGAGATTTCTTATTTGTATTAAGGCTAAAATAGATAAGTGAAAATTCTGTTCATCATTAAAAATAATCAATATAGAACTTATATGTATTTATTTTATATGGACTATATAGCTTAATAGTGCGCACAAATTGAGCGTTTCACGCAAATAATGCATTTCATATGACCTCGTGCAAATTGGTAAAATTACAGTTTGGCGTTAGCAACCATTTTAAAAAACGCAAATAGGTTTGCTTTTTCTTTACTTTATATTATTATTCGCTGTGTAATATTATATAAATATCTTACTTATATCCTAAAAAGGAATATTTAGAAATTAAAGAAATAAGAACGCAGACAATAATATAATTTTCAAAAGACAAATCTTTTTTTTAAGAACTTATTAAAAATGTTGCATTTGCAACGCAACGTTTGAAATGCTTAATTTGTGTGCACTATAATAAGCCATATTTTTAGAATTTATAAGTTTTAAGGCTGTCGGCTTAGTTTGGATAATTAATTGCTTTTTTAGTATAGGCTAAAAAGTATTTGATCGAGGACACCCGATTTTGGTTTATAAGTATTTGGTGACATTGCTATTTTTCGTATTTTATTCTCGTTTCTTTTCCTTTTTTTCTCCATTTTTTTTAAAAAAAATTTTCTTTTGGTTTTTTGGTCTGAGGCTCTTTTTTAATTTTTAAGAGCTGGGATAAGTAATTCTGATTAAAAATTTATAAACAGATTTTTATTATTCCATTATCTTGTATTGTATAAAATAATGACAAAAAAATCAATGTAAATATCGATGTCGGTGCCGTTTGAAATAAATTCGCATCAGTGAAAAAATTGTGGATCGGTGTAGCCCTATTTAAGTGATATTTAGGCGATTAACATTTTCATATAACCTAATGACCTGGCCATATCATTATTTTTAAATATATACAATTTAAATTTTTTTTTTAAAAAGATAATGATTTTTACCTATTCATTCTTTATCAGCTTCATTGTTTATTCAAGTTGGCCATACTCATATTGAATTGTCATAACATAAGTTTTAAATATGATTTTAATTTAATGCATAACATTAAAATAAAATAAATATTTTGAGATTTCTTCCCTATTTTGAAAATACAGGCCACTAAAGGCCAGGTCTAGTTCAAAAAATTTGCCGTGGTTGGGTTTGGGCAAAAAAAAATCGATTTTGCAGGTTTAAAGTAGATAGCGCGCTCCAATTCTGGACTCATGCAGTTAAAATGCAGGAACTTTTTATTTACCTATAAATATATAATATCTAAACAACTTTATTTAACAAATAAGGTTTACAACAAATGAAACCTAAAACAATCTGTGTATAGGCGAATTAAAATTGAATTAAAATACATGTATTTTTACATATTTATCAAACAAAAATAAATATATTAGGAGTTAAATAGTAAATACTTTTTATCCATATCAATTTCGAATAATTTAAACAAGTACCATCCACAAATACAATTAAAATTTGAAGACAGATAATATTGAATCAATTTTAAAAAGTTATGAGATTACTTTGGATCAAAAGCACGTTTTTCAATCAGTTAATAAAAAAAATTATATTTAAAAAATAATAATGATAGTTAGTTTTTAAAAATATTACACATCATCGTATTTGCATAAAAACAGTCCTTTATAATTTATGGTCGGTTGGCTTAGAATTGGGGTGCTTCTCAAGTTTTTAATGCATTAGTTTGGTGTAAAAATAAAATTTAAAACTTAAATACAATTAGAATTTTTTAACCCAAATATAATATATTGTAATAACGAAAATACATTATTAAAAAAAATTAATATCCTGCGGGTAGATATAAAATATATTTATATAGTATAAGATTTAATTTGTGGAGGGCATTCTTTTTTTTAAAGTTCTCCATGAAACATAATCTGGAACATTCCAATTTAAACCCGAGACTATATAGGGGGAAACATTTTTTCTAGATGGTTCTAGAACAGTGCTTGAGTGGGTTCCAAAGCTCTATGCTTTCGGCATCTCTCACGTTTTGGTTGATTTGATGAGCTATGACCGCGTCCAAAATAGCGACGGTTCGGTCTCTATCGGAGGAATTATCGAGGTAAGCTAACCCTGGATTATTTTGAGAATTAAGAGCGGATGAACTAGTTTCATAAGCGTCTTTAGGTAGAGCCGAAAGGAAGGCGTCTATAGCTTTATTGTTTTGATCTGTACCTGAATCATTTGCTAATTTTAATATATATGGTAAAATATATGTTAGTTTAAACATGATTGATGGACATGTAAATGATAACAGTTATAAGTTTATCAGTGTGAAAAGATCACTTTAGAATAGGCCTATTCAAAAATGAATTCGAATCGAATAGTGCATAATTCATATTCGATTCGTTTAATAACAAAATCTACTATTTGTATTCGATTCGAATTATTCGAGACAAATCTTTTTATTGCAAATTTGATTTCAAACAGAAAAAATTATAATAATAATCTGATAATAAAAAATATGTAATCAATAATTTGATGATAAAAAATATATATCAAGTTATAAACAAAATTAAAATGTATATTATTAATTTAATACATAATTCTAAGCCAATATTTAAGGTAAAGAATTTTTCTTATATTTTCTTCCTATGACAAACGATTTTTTTGACAACAAATTAGTTCCAACTAAGAAAAGTCTTTCACAAGCAATTGATGTTCCTTGTATAAATAGGTAATCCCTAGGTGTGAATGAACCTATTATAATGATAAATAAGAGGGGATGTTGTTTTGCCTTTACATTTTATAATGCTCTCTGATTGCAAGCAGCCTTTTCTCTTTATTTATTTGATATTGATCCTATATCCATCTTTTTGTGAGGAGATTTTGTCAAATTCAATATCAAGCATAACTATTTTATCAGAAGCATTCTCCTCTAACATAATTAGGCTACTAACAATAATTTATTTTTGAGATGCATTATATTTTTATTTACCTTTGGTTTGTGTCATTTTTTAATATAATTTATTATGAGATTCAAAAAATAAACTTCTCTTGAGATTCGAAAAATACGGCAAATAAAAATTTAAATATTGCTTTAATTTTCACTTCAGAGATTTTTTAAATTTGTGCTAGTCTTTTTATAAACACATTACCTATCAGATTGGAATTCATCAAATAGAAATGACAAATGTTAGATTTATTAAAAGCAATTTATTAATAATGGTAAAACATTAGTAATAAATGATATATTAAATACTCCGAATAATTAGTTTTATTCGAATCGAATAAATAATTATTCGTATTCGAATAAAACAAATAATTTATTATTCGTATTCGTAATTATTCGAATTTTTTTGAATAGGCCTACTTTAGAATGTTCTTGTAACTTTTTACTGGAAATTTTATATAAAAGAAATAATAAACTCAAGCTTAGGTTTTATATTATAATTAGAGGAGTACCGATAGAGCTATTTAAAGGCAGATCCAATCCGAGCTTGCCGAAAGCAAGTTGATAAGGGCCGATTAGCGATATCAGCCGTTCAATTTTTAATAACATTAGAAAAGTTATAGGATAAAATAAACCGTAAATAAATAAAATTATTTAGATATTTGAATAAAAAGAATAATTTCCATATTTTTTTAAAAAACTCAAAAACAATTTTCTATTCGTTATTTTGTTTTATATACGGATCGGCAAATTTAATGCCGATAAGATATTCTTAAAAATTATGAATGATTCGAGTCGATCTGATATATTAAAAAAATTGGTGCATTCCTAATTCTAAGATATTATTAATATTACCAATAAGTATTCGAAGGAGGCCCAATATGATAAAAAATATTTACCCGAAAAGGTAGAAAATATGGTGAAAGGTGTTTTGATTTCGACGTTGGTCGGCATTGTTTTAAGCACGAAATTTTCTCTTTCTTGGTGGAAAGTGAGAGTGTCTATTTTATTTTCGCTACTGCCAATATGGCGATTCAATTTGAGACGTTTTTCGGTGGAATGCTGAAGTGACGGGAAGAAGGATTCGTTAAAAGGATTAGCATCTCTATGGGGCAGTGCTTTAAGAATCGTTTTAAAAATACGTATATTTAGTTGTTTTTTTTCAAAAAATGTAAACAGATGAGGAAAAAAAATCTATGCCATGAATTATTTTGAAAATAAAAAAAATTCCTTTTTGTTCATTTAATAAAATGTTAGCACTAATTAAGATTATGAAAAATTTTTTAGAAAGGGTTTATTATAAACAGTTTTTATAAATGTTGGTGGTGTTGTGAATCAACTCACTATATTTATAGTGTATAAAAGCAAACATTTATATAACCTTTAATATTAACTAATTGAAATATATATTCAACATCAGCCTAATAAATAATTGTAAATAAAATGTTTACATTTAAACCTAGAACAATTGATGGCATATGCGTTTTCTAAATAATTCATAAAAATCTGTTTCTCACCTTTGGTACAGATTTCTTGTACTCAATCTATTGAACATCACCCAACACTTACCGACATATTTTATAATATTGTAATAAAATTTTAATAAAGTATTTTTAGAAGGTTATGTCCAAAATCATTTTAAAAAAATTCGAAAAGTTTCAAAACTTTTGCAAATTTTAATGAAATTGTATGTTAATTTTTTGAAATGTTCTAGTTTTTATTTTTATATTTAAAATAGCTTATTTATTTTTTTTAATTAAAGTTTCGAAAGTTTGTGAATTTAATCTTTTGATGTTTTAGTTAAATCATAATATAAAAATAATAGCTAGATTTAAAAAAAAATTCCTAATGTTCCCTCGATATTGTTGTGTTTTTTTAAATATTTTTTCTATGTTTTTTTGTTGATTCTTCTCTTATAACGTTCAAAAATTAGAGTTGATTTATGGGACACGAATCTTAAGATACCAATGAAGGATTAAGGGAATAAAAAGTATAATGATTCCTTAATAAATTTGACAAATTAGCTGATTATGACTAATTAGTAAATAAGATCAAAGGTTTATTGTTCACAATTTGAGATAAACATTATTAGGTAAATAAACAAATGATTTCATAAAATGAAAATAAAATATTAAAAAGCTAAAGAAAGATAAGTTTATTGGTGATTTGATTTTTACAAGAGATAGGGAGAGGCGGAGACGCAAACCTCTTTGAGGGACGGGAGGTGACGTGATAAGAGTGGGTAGAATAAGTTTTATTTAACTGGTCAAAAGGAAGTTCAGGTCGAAATTCGTAAGGGTCTTTATCAAGGCCAGGCGTGAAGACTTTCTGGGTTGTCTGAGCACTCCTGGGACGAGCTAGATGTGCAGTGTCTAAAAGATAATTAACGATTTATTGAGATGGTAAAATATGTGCAGAAAACATCTATCCTGTAAAACGTTAAATTTACCGATAAACAAATGAATCAGCACTAAATAATTTATTTGACTTTTTATTAAACTGATATATTTTAATAATTTTGAATAAAAATTGTAATTAAAATCAATTATATTTTTGTTAGTATTTTAAATAATTTATTTTCAAAAAAAACATTTTATCACCCCTACATTTTACAATATTATGCATATAAGTCGAATTAATTACTACATTTTATTATTATAAATTAGGCTTGGCAAAAATCATGATTTTTTAATAAAAATATTTAAAAAATAAGTATCAAAAATAAAGCATGCCTAAAATAATATATTTTATATGTTCTAATCCCGATATGCAAAGGGGAGGGTAATCCTCTAGATTGTGGATCACAGAGCAATTAAACTTTTGTAACATGCAATAAAGGTTTTTGAGAGAGTTAGAAAAGGAGAATAAGGGACCAAATGAAATTGAATGATATGCAGTTCGGTTTTACCTTGGCGTACGCAGCGGGGGGGGGAGGAATAGGGGGACAAATCCCCCCCCCCCAAAGCCAAAATGCAGATGCCGGACATATTTTTCAAAAATATTATTTTTTATATTTTTATATTTTATTATAATTATAATTATTCATATCTATTTCTTTTTAAATTTTTATATTATTACCTTTTTCATTTGCTAATTTACTTTATCAATTAATTTCATTTTCAAGTTTTCCTTGTGGCGTAATATTTATCTATTATTTATAAATTTCCCGGTATTATAATTTTCAAATTTCTAGTCATGGATATTAGACTTTTTTTAAAAAACGCTGAAGGTGAAAATCATGCCAAAAAGAAAAAAAAGTATAGTATAATAATTTAATAAACAAAAGCTGTGAACTGATAATTTCATCAAAAGAATCAATTCAAAAGGGGGATATGATTCCCATTTCATCAATAATTGATAAAAATAGGGTTAAAATTGCAAAAGAAAATAGAGGCAAGATAAAACTAACTATTGAGGAGGCTATTCTATATTGTGGTTTGCAAGGCCTAGCACTTCGTGGCCACAAGGATTCAGGAAGCTTAAATTTTAATAATAATGATAACGAAGGTAATTCCGTGGACTTTTAAAATTTAAAGCATTAGGAGATCCTGTATTAATGGAGAGCCTCATTAGTACCAATAAAAATGCTAATTATCTCAGCCCTAGGATACAAAATGAGATAATTGATATTTGCAACAATATCATTTTAGAAAAATTGATTGTTGAAATCAATTCTGCCCCATGCTTCTCAATTTTGGCAGATGAGACCATGGACATTGCTGGCATTGAGCAGATGTCGTTGTGTGCGCGATATGTAGATACTAATAAAAACAACATTATCAAGGAAATGTTTCTCCAATTTATTCCTGTTTCAAGCATGACTGGGTCTGCTTTAGCTGATGAATATTTGTGAATCTTAAAAAATTAAAAGTAATAATTAATCTTATTATATAATTATTTTCAAAAATATAGCTAAATAAAAATATGATACGTGGGCAAGGGTATGATGAAGCACGTGCAATGAGTGGACAATTCAATGGGCTTCAGGCATTTATTAAAAAAAAATGTCCAACAGCTATATATGTCCACTGTGCTGCCCATTCACTCAACTTAGCAATATCGGATTCATGTTCTTTACCATTGATATCAAATTGCTTAGGTTTTTAATTATTAAAATTAAATTTTTTATATTTATATCAGGTAAAATATCTAGCATCTGTGAGATGTTTAGATACCCCAAGCGTCAAAATATTTTGAACAGAATTATATCTGAAACTCCTTGCCCAACAAGGAGAAAAAAATTGCAAAAAGCTTGCCCAACAAGATGGAGTCTTCGACATCAAGCAGTAACAGCTTTTATCGAGTTAGAAGAGCCGATTATTAATGCTCTTACAGAAATATCACAATGGTCTGAAAGAGATATTTCTTCAGAAGCAAGCAAGTTACTGGATTCAATACTTATACCAAATTTATTTTTCGCATTAGAATGTATTAATAAATTATTTAATTATACAACTATTTTATGTAATACTTTTCAAAAACCTGATATTGATTTGATTGAGATGATGAGAATAGCAGAGACAATTTTATTAGAACTCAAAGAAATTAGAGCTAATGCTGATGAGGAATTTCATATTTTATATGTTAATGTTGAATCAAAAGCAGAGCTATACGAGTTCAATATTTGTCTCCCTCGACTTGCAGTAAGGCAAACTTATCGTCCAAATATTAATATAGGGTCAATAGAAGAATATTATAAAATAAATGTCTTTATACCTCTTTTAAGTACATTTATAACCCAAGTAAATGAAAGGTTTTTAATTCATCAAGAAGCACTTATCAATCTGCAGAAATTACTTCCGCAAAAGCCCTCTGAACCTTTTTCAGATGGTGATAGAAAAAAATAAAATATTTGGAAGATTTTTCTCATGAAGACATTAATGTATCTCATGATGCTTTATTAGCTGAATGCCAACTATGGTATAAAAGATTAACTATGGTTGATATAGTCCCAAAAAATGCTATGGATGCTTTGCATCATTTCAAACATCTTTTAGATTATTTTCCCAATATATTGAAATTATTATATATATTAGCAACTCTTCCCATTAGTACTGCAACTAATGAGAGAACATTCTCTTCTTTAAGAAGATTAAAAACGTACCTAAGAAGTACAACTTCTGAAAGTAGGTTGAATGGTCTGGCCCTTTTGAATATTCATGGGCATTTGACGTCAAACACGGATGAGATAATTGAAAGATTAGCTCACTCCCAACAAAGATTGGATTTTACATTATAAAAATATAATGTTTCTATAATATATTTTGTGCTATCATTTTTTAATGTCTTATATATTTTTCTTTTACATAAAAAATATAATTATTCATATTTCCAACATTTAGATTTTTTATACTTTATATATAAACTTTAAAAGCTCAAAAAAATTTAAATTTCTATTATGGATTATTTATTTTATAGTCATCATATCCTGGTTATATCCACTTAATATTTTATAATTCAGATTTATTTAAAGTATTTATATGCCGCCGGTTATATCCGTAATATTTTTTAAATCAAATTTATTTTTATATATCGGTTTATATATTTAATTTTTTATAATTCATATTAATTTAAATTTGTATATTAGAAATAGTTATTAGTCCTAATAAATTTATGCTTGATATTTTTAAATAACAATAATTTTATTTTAAAAAATTTTAATTATCCCCCCCCCCCCACACCAAATTCTTGCGTACGCTACTGCCATGGGTATTGCTAATGCTATTTTGTTGTGAGGCAAATGCAAGAAAAATACAAAGGGGAAAAGATCTGGAGAAAGCATTTGAACGAGTGCCGCGTGAGGTTATAAAATGGGCCCTGAGGAAATGAAATGTAGAAGGGCTAATAACAGAAGTGATGGTGATGCATGGCGAGGAACGAAAGGGTGTTCGAATAAATGATGGGGATAGTCATAGTTCCGAGGTAAAGGTAGGGCCACATCAGGGTTCCATCTTGAGTTTATTACTTTTTATTATAGAAGGACCCGTAAAAGAGTACCATGGCAAATACTGGATGCCGATGACTTAGTAGTGATAGCAACAAGTAAGATAGACTTGAAGGATAAAACTGTAAAATGAAGAAGGGTTCTGGAAGAGGAGGGATGAATATAGAAAAGACGAAGGTAATGTTGGAGGTGAAGGTTTAGAAAAGAATGAGGAGACAGGCATGTGGGAAATGTTGATAGAAACCATCAATTGTACCTGCTGCCATAAATGGGCTTACAATAGGTAAGGTTGTGTAAAGGGAAGCCTAGATAGCAAGCGCGTCGTTTGAATGTAGAAAGGTTGTGAAAGATGATCATGACTGGTTTTCATATTGGAAATCGAATAAGCCTGAAAGGTCTGTTATCTAGAGGATATTCCTAGTGCAGGTGAAGGCGTTGACCTGACAGTAGTGGCGAGGATAAGATATGCTTAGAAGAAATTTATAGAGATGTCTTCTATTTTAACCAATAAAAATGTCCCTCTAGCTTTGAAGGAAAAGGTTTATACAAGCATGTTGTATGGCAGCGAGACATGGGCATTAAGGCGACTAACGTTGCTAAATTAAAAAGAACGGAGATGAGAATGATCAGATGCATATGAGCAGTCTACGAGAAAGAAAAAGAAGCCAGGATTTGAGATAAAGAATTGAATGGATAGAAGCAATAGGTGATTTCTTGGGAATAAATAGACTGAGATGGTTTGGAGATGATGCCATTGGCTGGAAATGAAGGAAACAAGACTTGGAGGGCGACCAAAGATATGCTGGATGAAAGTGCTAGATAATGGCATGTAAAGGTAAGGTTAACTTGAGGGGATGCCTAGAGCGCGCAAAATGGAAAAAGGCAATAAGAAGGGAAATTGGCCTACCCAGGTAAGCCTGAAAAAGGGCCATCAAACGACAAAGAAAAAGATCATTCTAATAAAAAGATATTTTTACTTTCCTTATATTTTATTAAAATTACTTTGTAAATTCAAAAAAACATTAGATTTTTTACTTGAAGGAATTTCATGTTTGATAAGGGATACATTGATCTCGGATTTAATAAGATGGTCCATTTCTTTAAACGACCTGATTCATATAATACAAAAATTCCGTAAAAACTTAAGGTTTTTTCAGTTTATTTCTTCTTAAAAAAATAGTAAAATAGAGGACTCAAATGAATTAACATATTTTCAAATTTATTTTTATTTAGTAAAAATATATACAATAATTGTAAGGGCACATTTTACTATAATAAAGTCAAAGATAATATTATAATAATTTAGCATGAAACCAAATAAAATAATTTCTATTATGAGAGCAAAATATCTAAATCTGTATTGCTAAAAATACTGATGGTATATGTCTAAAATTTATGAGATATTGGTGAAGGTGGTATTTACGGTTTTCTATGTTTTAATTTAAAATAATGAAGGTATCCACTATTCATTAATCTAGATATCAATCTTTAACCATATGAGCCTCCTGAAAACTAGCAATGGCATATATTTAATAGCTTTTATTTGTTTTAAATGAGTACAGGGTCTATATATCAGTTATACATTAAACAACGAATCCAAAAAGGAAAAATACTCTCATGTTTTTCCCCCATTTTATGTAATACCGATTTTCAAAAATTATCATTAAGCAATTAAGGACTCCATTAATCAACTAATTTGCTTGCAAAATGTATTTAAAGAAATCAACCAATATTATAAAATCATCATCGAAGATAAAGGAATACATAGTTATATAAGGCTTATTTATCTCAGAAAATATATAAAGTTTCGGTTCTAATCCACTTGCACTCTGCTTGTCACAAATAAAAAAATATAGTATGGCGGGTCGGGAATTCTCATGTATAAAAGTTTATCCATTCACAAAACAAATAATAATATCAAATATATTACATTATATAAAATTATAAATCCCAGGTGGTTAAAGAATTGACGCTGGCGTGAAAAGAAAAAAGTAAGAAGGCAGGAAGACCTTCAATAAAGAAAAGTGTAATATACAGGATGCGTGTGCATGACATCCATTCATGTCAGATGATATACTTGGATATTGGTATTTGCTTTATATGTATATTTATGGTTTATTCTATTCCCCAAAGACATATTTTCCAACATATTATTAAAAATCGGATGGTTGATATCGGTAAAAGGTTCGGCCTCTATAAAGTTGTATTGGTACATTAATTTTAAGGAAGGCAAAAAAATTGTTCACGTGAAAAAGTTAGCGCAAAAAGGGTTTAAAAATATTTTTAACGAAATTTATAGTTACGCATTTAGCTGGCCGTCATATTTATCGACCTCGAGCTTATCGCTATTCAAAACAACTTCCTTGATTTGAATATTTTCAATGACACGGTCTAACCTATTAGCTTGTAATGTTTCGTTTAGCTCTAAATGACAAAAATATACAATGATATTAATAAATTTTCTATTGGCCTAAGAACTCAACTCTAAGATCATATTTGCATATTCATTAAATATGTAGGTTTTTTAAACTATAATTATATTGCGCTTGACTATAATTCTTCAAAACAGAAAAGGTACAAATAAGGGAATCAGATTATTTACATGTTGTAAATAAATTAACCTTCGCAAGTCGAATTGTTAAGATGACACTGTGAGTTATCGTCCATGGATAAATTGACCAAGTCGTCGACATTTTTTGAGGGCGTTTGCGGCTATATATATAATGAAAATAAATATTATTCATTCATTTATCAAAAATATTAATAAATCTAATTTTGAAAATCAAATATTCAATACATTTTGAGGCTTGCCATTAGAGTTGATATTGTTAGCGGCTATCTTACGTCTTTTGGCAATCTTTCGCCTCACAAGCTTCTTGTAATTTTCTCCCTTTTTTGTCAAGTAGTAGAATAACACGCAATCGCTTACAGACTATTTATTATTTGACATAAATAAAAAGATGGGATATTTTAGCAGAGCTGTGAACCCTTCTTCTAAAAAAGGATTCAGTAAAATCAATTTTGAATGAAAAATGTTATCTTTAAAGAAGGGATGTGAACCCGGACCCTCCTGAACCTGGTATTTTGACTGTACCCGAACCTGGACACTTTTCAAAAGTGGAGGGTTCAAAAAATCAAAAATAAATTAAATTTTTTTTTGAGAAGCTATTTTTTTTATCTCTTCCCATTTTTCAAAATTTTATAGTTTTTATACTTTTGTATCGGCAATATCATGTTTAAATTATCAATTTTTGAAGGTGATATATGTGAATTTTGTAGAGTAGGTAATAATATTTAATTATAAATAATAATTTTATAATATGCTATATAATAGGAGTACTACGCTGCTTATCTTGTTTTATATCAATTTTAAAAAGTGAAATATTGGAAATTTTGTAGGAAGCGCGTAACCAACCCCCCCCCCCCCACCCTATCGCAAATTTGCCTGCTCTCGTAAATACATTAAGGTAATAAAAATTTTCCTACAGCCCTCACCCCCCCCCCCCCCAATGTAAACAATATATTAATAAATTAGTAAAAGTTAATAACTTTTTAAATATGATAATAATTCAAATTTTTTAGAAAAAAGCATTATATTATTTTTATAATATAGCTAAAGGCCCGTAGACCTCAAGAGCTTCAATAAAATTTATGGAGGAGGGGAACTTACATAATACCCCTCCCTAACAAAATCCCAGAATTTATGTTTTGTAGTGTAGGCAACAGAGTTGTTTAAGTATCCAGATACAAAAATATCATATCTGTATCTAGATCCATTTTATAAAAAGTATCTGTATATAGATATAATAATAGAGGTATCTGTATTTATTTTTAGATACGTTTTAAGATATACTTTTAAACGCTTTTTATCTTAAAAATAAAAATATTTGAATGAAATGAGCATATAATTAAATAAATTATATTAAAAAATATACTAATATAATAATAAAAGAATACTATATATATAAAATATCAAAATTTTAAATATTATTTTTTATCCATTTAAATATATATCAGTTATGTAAAGGAATATATAACTCCTTATTTAGCTATGTCGCTTATTAGTTATTGATAATAATACCATTGATGCAGAAAATTATTTCAAGCAAATAAATTTATTTGGAATCTTTAAAAATAATTTTAATGAATAAATTAAAGGTTTAATGTAAAAAAAAAATTTTTAAATAACGGCTCATCATAAATGAAAATATATTCGAAAGAACGATAAAAATAAGAGTATTGACATTTTATTATTATATTTTATATGGTGTTAGAATTAAATGAGAACAAAATATAAAAATATTATTTACTTGTTTTGTGCTCTCATATTAAGAGTTTCTGTTCGAAAACAACAGCGAACCCTGTATATAAGAACGATAAAAATTGTATCTGTATCTAGATACATTTAAATTGCATCTGCATCTAGATACGTTTTTCGATTATGTGTCTGTTCTAGACCCATCTAGTATCTTTTAACAACTCTGGTAGGTAATAAATGATATCAAGGGCTATGCGATTAAGTAAAACATCAAAAATATAAATTAATTTTAAATTATTTACTTGTAAATTATGCATGTCTATTATTATATTTTTCTATGATCTCCAAACCGTGAACCCGGACCCCTTTTTTTGTCGAAGGGTTCACATCCCTGCTTTAAAGCATTTTGTAATTCAAAGCTTGGTTATATTAAGAATGTGAGGTGGATGAAAAATTATGCATTACTTTATTAGGCAAGCTAAGAGCTATAGTTTCGAATTCTTTCGGATTTGATGTGTAGCATTTCTTAAAAGTTTCCCTTTCCTCCAGGGTCCAAATATTGTAGTGGGCGAACCTAACGCCCCTCTCTTCCAAAGGCAAGAGTGTTCCCTGGTTAATTTCCATATCTCGGACACTTATATTGACATCGTAATCAAAACAAAGGCAACCTCTAAATTTATCACCTTGTGTAAGGGCTTCTTTTTCAGCCTAAATGATAAAAAAGGTATAGGCTTATAAAAAGACATTAAATCACCCCTCCATTAGCAATTAAATACAAGTAAAATTAATACCCTCACGCTCCACGTAATAATTTTCCTAACAATTAATTTTAAAAAAGTCAAAATTTTTAAACAAAAGCTGATAAAATATATTGCTAAAAATACACGAAAATAACTTAGAATTTTAGAAAATGACAAAATATAGTAAATAGCTAGTTTGTTAATTAGCCAAAAATCTAGCTAGTGGGTAAACTAGTACTATAGCTAAGTTTGCAGATTAGCGCTAACATACAATCAAGCGTAAACCCAATATTATATAAGATATATGATATAACTCGGCCGAAAGCCAAGCAAAAGCGGGCCGAAGGCCCATCAAAGGGAGATATGGCCCTTGAGAAATCCTGACTAAAAATGGTAATATTTTGAAAAATCCTATGGATAAAATAAAATAATATAGTTACCATTAGGGGATTTGAGATAATTTCGTCTCGTTGATTGAATTTGCAATCGCTTAGTGGTATATTCTCAATTTCCAACTTAAGGTTTTTGATAACCATACCGTTAGCGATATCTTTTTTATCTAGTTCGTGACCCAAAATGGTTTCAATTTTTATATCAGTTTTTGCATGATGATTGCAGGTAAGAATGAATCTTAAAGGATCGAGGTAAACCATCCGACTTTCCCAGACCTTATCGATGGAAGAGAGTAGCCTGGGGATTTGGGCCGAAAGATTAAACAATCTTCTTTTCTCTTCCTTCATTCAGCGCGGTAAATAAATTGTTTTAAATTTAAAATACGAATTATAAAGATAGGAAAAACAAGAAGTTTAATATGTATACAAATAAAATCCGATAATTTACTTTTAAGATCTGCAAAGACCCACCCGGCTCGCAGGTCGGGCCTATTTAAAAAATCATAACAGGCTGGGCAAAACATTTAACGGGATAGGTGGAGCAATTCGTTAAAAAATTAAAGGGTCGGACTGGTTAGTTCATACAAAAATAATTGGTCCGAGCCCCGTAAATCTGATATTGAATTTAACTAATATTTTTTGAAATAATAACAAATGAAAATGAGGGTATTTCTTTTCATTTTATTTTAATAACTACCTAACTAAATATCTATAAATAAATAAAAACTTTATTCCTTATTTTTAGTGTTGTTAAAAATTACTACTAAACAAACGTTCTACAGGAGCGCATTATGTATGAGACTTAATAAAAAATAATTTCGAAAGGAAACTAGTTACTTTAACATCACTACTTAATTTATAAGAAATTATAGGTTGTGCCGAAAATTTCGTAAAATTTTAATAAGCCAACCTGGGGGTTCCATATCAAATCGCGAAATTTTTATCGCGAATCAACATTAAGACAATATCGCGAATTTTTTATACGAACCCTTTAGAGCGAATACATTACAGTGAAACTTTTATCGCGATAATTATACAGCGAGTTCATTATCGGGAAACCAAAATCGCGAAGACAATATAGCGAAAACATTTCGCGAAGGCAATATCGTGATAATTGCTGATTTTATTTTTTCAAGAAATAGTTTTTAATTTTCTTTTAACCTTAATAAATTTATATGATTATATAAAAACAAGAGGTCTGCAAGGCCAGAGATGGCAAAAATTCGTGAGAAAGAAAAAATTTACGAAAATCAGGCTCGGCTCGTTAAAATTTTACTAAAACTCAGATTTTTGCCCGGGCAAATTTTTTTTATCTAATTGCTCGGCCTGAAAATATTTATGAATGACAACCGGCCCAGCTCAGTAAGGACTTTCTCGGAACAGCCGGGTATAATTTTTGCCCGGTCTGGCCCATTTAATTTTTTAAAAAAATTTCCGTCCCGTGGATCGGGCTTTGCAGATCTCTAATAAGAACATCTTCATTTTTTTTTGATTTGGAATATTTTCTATTTTAATATTTTTTTAAACATATATTATACATTTTAGTTGGTCATATAATTTATATATTTATTTAAACTGTTACTTAAATTGAACTACCATAAAAAAATGAAATCACTTAAATCAAAAAACTAAAACAATTGGATTATTTCCAATATTTATAGTCTTTTTCAGAAACAATTATATGACACGTTTAGGTTCTCGGAGTTCGGATCAAAAGAAAGAACAATTTTCAAGAGATTTGAAAAAAATGAGAATTCCTTTTACTAGATTTACAAGAAATTTTTTTAAAAAAATTAACTTGAAAAATTTAATTAAAAAAATTCTGAAAATTTACTTAACAAATCGTCTATGATTTTTAAAAATAATCTGAAACAGTAAATATTTTTAACTGATTAAGTACAGATAAAATTTCAAGTATTCAGAATATTTGTTAAAAACAATTTGCTTTTAAATGAATAAAGTGCATTTTTTAAATTTATGTGGGGGGGGGGGGGGGGGGGGTGGTTCATTGGGGTAAAAACGTAACCAAAATGCCCTCTCCGTACTTACAACCAAGAGTGATAGGAGGCCCTAATTATATTTTATAATGTCACATGCTTAAATTAAAAAAAATCCTTAAAAATTTTACGTTTATGATATTATAGTTTCAATGACTTCCGCAAATATTGCGGTAAAAAATTAGCCATAAAGAGTTAGCGATAAACGCTTCGCTATAAAGGGTTGGCAATTAAAGTTGCGCTAAATTGTATTCGCTCTAAAGTATTTGCGGCTAAGGTTTCGCGATATTGTCTTAGCTGTAAATGTTTTGCGGAATTGGTTTCACGATATTACCTTAGCTCTAAAATTCCTTTGCGATAAAAGTTTCGCTAAAAGGTGTTTAACTGGATTGACCTGACATGCAATTTTGGTATTAAAATTATGATATATTTTATTTTAATTTTAAGCTTATATTTTGATGATTATTATTTGAAAATAATTGACAATATGCGTATTTCTTTGTGGGGGGGGGGCCACAAAAAAAATTTTGGCCCCCAAAAGTGCCCCCCCCCCCCAATTTGAAATTTTTTTAGAATGGATTATTTTTATATTTTTAATATAAATTTTGAATATTTTTACTAGAATTGATTATTTTTATATTTTTAAAAAATTTTGAATATTTATTCTACAAACATGTCTAGTTTGTAAAATTTTTTCTATCCTGTTTTATTTTTACCCAATATTAAATTATCATTCATTTTTTTTTTCATTTTTTTTTGTTGTGTATAACATTCTCTATAGGTATCACATTTATATTATAATATATAACCAGTTATTTTATTTTACAGTGTTTATTTTAAAATTATGAAGAAACAATCAGTTATTAACTCTTATTTTAAGTTAAAGTTAAACAAATGTCAAGCAACATCACCTCTACAAACTACTAGTAATACTACATCAGAAATGATTCTTCTCATAGTTAGTATAAATTTATATTATTATTTCATGGCTTATTTGATATAGGGCAATACCTATATATTATTATTTCATATATATTTATTTTATATAAGATAAGATAAGAGACAGACATTTATTATTAATATTATCATTTTTGTATAAAAAATTTAATTATTAAAATAAATATATTCACTCATGTTTCAAGATATGAATGAAGCTAATAATCTAGAAAATGATCCTCACTACACTCAGGAGGAGGAAGATGGTAAATAGTTTAAAATTTAACCCAAATTTTTCTATTTATATATTTTTGACAATATCAATAGGAGTAGGAAATTATGGTGTTTCATTATTACATTTTGATTTAAAAACAATTAAAGACGAAGAAGAGACTCATTCATCTTCATCTAGCAGCTCAGTCTCTCATTGTCAAGAGGCAACTAGTAATTGATTTATAAATATAAAAATATTATATTTTTTTGTTAATCTTTAAAGATATAATGTTTATGACATTTTTCTAGTTATTAATACTGAATATCTATAATTTTACTGATCAACTTTACTGATAATCTTTCATCAGGGTTGGGCACTACAGTATAGCAAATACTTGTATCTTAAATACAAGATAAATTTTGTGTTTGTTCATTTTCAGCATGCCCTTCCTTCGCCCATCCTGATGACCATTATTATTTATGACCCTTTCCTTCATTACAATTTATTAATTATAATATTTTAGTGTCAAAAAAGTCCTCTAATGGTTCAATTCAAATCCCATGTGACCTTGGCCAGAATAAACCAAATCAAATTAAATAATTACGCGAAAAAAGATATCCATGGAAGGCAAAGATCATTTCAAAAATCATGGTATAGAGGCTGAGAATGGTTGGAGTATAGTGTAGAAGCTGACCTTTTGTTTTCCATGTAGGAAATACTTATGAAATCCAAGTGATGAATTTGGACAACCGGGATTCAGAAATTGGAAAAATGCGTTAGCTGCCAAGAAGGGACTGCTAAAACACGAGAGCTCAAAAGCTCATTTAAATTCAATTACAATATGGCATGATAAAAATCAAAATATAAACAAAGGTACAGAAATAACTAAAATGTTTGGAGGTGATCAAATTAATCGTAATCAATATTATATTAAATCAATATTTGATTTGATGCTATTTCTTAGCATACAAGAGCTACCTTTCCGTGGGACTGGTTCAACAAATATTACGGATGCTGCAAAAGATGAAAACATGATTTATTCTTCTGGGCTATTTATAGCAATGTTTTCCTACACCTTCCAAAAAGACCCTGAATTAAATAAAATTATGAAATTTATACCCCAAAATGCCCAGTATACATCACCACAGATTCAAAACGAAGTTATATCCATTATGACAGATATGGAGCTTGAACATATTTCAGACAAATATAATAAAAGCGAGATGCCTTTTTTTTGTTTTAAGGCTAATGAGACAAAAGATGCTTCAGGTTGTGAAAACCTGAGCATAATAATTCGCTATATTTTTTTCTGGAGAAATCCAAGAAAATTTAATAGGAATCATTAATTTAGAGTGTCTTTCTGCTAAAAGCATTACAGATTGCATTTTAAAGCAACTTAATGATCTAAATATTAATTCTGCTAATATAATAAGCCAGGCATATGATGGTGCAAACGTTATGTCTGGCCGAAATAGAGTGCAAACACTTCAAAAAAAATTAATAAAAATGTTCCTTTAATACATTGCTACAACCACAAGTTGCATCTTGTGGTTCAAAATTGGTATAATATAATATTGTTATTATTTCTAATTTTTTTAATTTATCAAATGCATTGTATAATTTTTTCAGGCGTTTTAACGTATCCTGTAAATATACAGGCCACACCCTTAAGAGACTTTTAGACCAGAGGTGGACTGGTCATTTGGAAACATCTCGCATTATTTATGAGAATTTTGCGGCTATTGGTAAAGTATTATTTTACTTTTCTAATAGAACTCATAATTCAGAGGCTTCAATTCATGATTCAGTCGAAGCCTCTGGTCTTTTATCTCAATGTATTAATATAGATTACATTATATTAGCCATCATAATTTATGAGATATTAATTACAATAGATCCACTAAATAAGTATCTACAATCAGTAGGTACTAATCTAGTGGAAGCTAAAAATTGTATTGATTCTACTATCAATATATTAAAAAATAAAAGAAGTGATAATTCTTTTGCTTTGATTATGATTAAGGCTGAAAAACTTTTATCAAAATTTAATCTTACTCCCCAAAAATCATCACGGGTACGTAAAACGCCTAAAAATTTCCAAGATTTTTTAGTTGATAGCAAACTAGAATTCGATTGTGAAAAAGACTCCAATTGGAGTTCTTTAAAAAGGATACATTATGAAATTATAGATAACTTTGTGGATCGTTTTTTAGACCGATTTACATAAGATGATTTTAATCTTTTAATACATTGTCCCCCCTTGACCCTGATTATTTTTTATCAGATAAAATGGCCCCATTAAAATCCCTGTTAAACTTAAATATGGAAACACTGCATCATGAAATGAAGATAGCAAAAGGATTGCTAGCTTCGGAAGCTAAAGAAAATCATAATTTTGAAAATATCTTACATATTATGTATAAAAAAAAATATAATCATGCATTTAAAGAATTATATAAATGCTACTCAGCAGCGATAATCATTGGGATATCAACGGCTTCTTGTGAGGCCTCGTTCTCTACATTAAAGAGAGTTTTATCGAACAGTAGAGAGTCTATGAAGGATAAACGTAAACAAAATTTAGTATTAATGGCGTATGAAAAAAGAATAACGCAGAATTTATCTTTTAGTTCATTTATATTAAAATTTAAAAATAAAAATCGCCGTATTCTATTATAGTAATAATTTGTTATGTATATGCATATTATAGTATTATTTTGTTTTGTATATTCATATTATAGCATTATTTTGTTATTAAATTTTTAATAAAAATAGGAAAAAATTTCTATGAATGCGTAATTATTTGTTTGACTTTAAAAAAATAGTGCCCCCCCCCAAGTAAGCACTTGGCCCCCCTAAGTGAAAATTCCTGGCTACGCCCTGGCTGTCTAATAAGTATAGTAATTATATAAATAAAATAGTAAATTGGTAAAAAAATAAACAAGTTATTTATGATTTTATCCAATTACAAATACACAATACAAAAAACACAATTGATTAATAAATCGGTTATTATAGAAAGAAATACCAATAAAGGAAAATTCATGCAAAAAAATTTAACGAGCTAAGCTAGAGAAATTAGTAAAAAATAATTTATCGTATCTCCCGGTGGGCCGGGCTTTGCAGATCTCTATTATAGATTAGATATTAAAACTTAAAGAATGTATTTATTAATATAAGCATAAGTAGACGCTTTACTATATTTGAATATATGTATACTATAACTAAAAATCTGCCAAATTTGTTTTGTTCAAAATAAAAACAAGGAACCTCTTGTTCGTGCAATCTCTTGGTAATCTCCTCCAAGTCTGTTTCTGTCCTTGCGTAATTGCCCATAGTATTTCGGGTCCATATCCTGTTGATTTAAAAGTAATCCCGTCACAAAAAATACAAGAAAAAATCACCAATATAATTACATATTAGTATAATTTAATCTCATCTGTGGCAAGGTGGGGGGGGGGGGTGTAAATCAAAAATTATGTCTATCAAATTGAAGATGTATGGTGAGGTATCAGTAGGGATGTGACACAAGAGCCCGGGAAAATTCGAAATTTCCCCTAGTTTCCAGGATTTTAATAATGTGTTTTTTTTGATCAAATAACCACATTTTTTATCATACTTTACTAAATATTTTTTCCTAGTAGTTCATAAATCATAATTGTGTTTTATTTTTGTATAAGTTCATTCTCAATCATTCTCGATAATATAATAATAGCTGAGTTCCGGTAATGCTCGTTGTATGTAATTTTTTAAGTTAAAACATAAGTTAGAGATATGGATAAGGTTGGGGGTTAATTAAAGGCTTGAGATATGGATTAGGTAGGGTTAATTCATTTTTTGATAACATATCTGATAGGTCATGTGATTGTAAATAAACTAAGAAATTTTAATAAGGTACCGCCTAATTCATTGGGTTGAAGTTAAATTTCTTAATTTTTATAAAAAAAATTTACAACTCGTCTAAATTAATTATTATTTTATACCTTATGCAATATTGGAAATTGAAATTTTCTAAATTAATTACTTAGTTAGAAAGTATATTTATAACAACTCTGGGTCGGGCCGCCGGCCTTTGACCGAGTTTAACTTAAAATTCGTGTATTTTTTACTTTTTCTTTTATATAAAATTCTTAGAAATATTATTGTTCATTGTAATTAAAATATAAAATCTGACATTTAATAATTTTCATTATATATTAATATTTTAAATTATTATGTTTTTTAACTATTTTATAAGATGTTCCTGCTTAGTTAAATATATACCTTCTAATATAAATTAAATATAGGTATAGATTAAGTTAAGGATTATATAAAGACATGATTGTTAAATATCACACCAGTCAAAAATTATATAATATAAAAAGCTCCATGAAGTTGGCCTAACGATTGGAAGCACACAATGAATCATGTATCATATGCCATTTTTTAGTGCTTCAAACCGTTGTGTAGCCGAGGTTAAGGAAAAGTCAACTTCACGCTTAAAAGTTGATTGAAAGCACTAACGATGAATCATATATCATTCTTTAGTGCTTCATTAGTAGAGGTTAGTGCTTCAATTACTTTTTGTAGCCGAAATTAAGAATAAAAAGTTATTTGCAAAAAACAAAAATAAACAAATAATGGGACATGCCAAAACAAAAACTATAAAAGCAATGAACATTTAGTTTTCACCAATATTTAGTGCTTAATTAATATATTTAAATTCATTAATGATTTAGGCGTGAAGTTGGCCGAACGATTGGAAGCAACGATGAAACTTATATCATTCTTTAATGCTTCGTTAGTAAAGGTTAGTGCTTCAATCAGTTTAGTAGCATTAAAATAAAAAATTTATTAAAGAAAAAAACAAAAATAAATGTTTGCCAACAAACATTATAGTAGCATTTAACATCCGGTTTTCGTCACTGCTTAATGCTTAACTAGTAAATTTGAATTACGTTATTAATTTGGTAAATCGCCATATGAAAAATAGTTATACGCTAAATAAATGTTTTGAGGTCAAATTTTGGCCAGCAAAACTATGGAAGCCGTTAGTAGAGGATTAGTGCTTTAGTAGACCCCTGTTAAAATAAAAATTTATTGAAATACACAAAAAGATGGCGGCACACCTAAAACAAAAACTAGAGCAGGGACACATCTTATTTTCGCCATTATTTAGTACTTAATTAGTAAATTTGAATTCTGTTATTAATTTGGTAAACCGACTTATAAAAAAAAATATAAGCTAAATAAATGTTTCAAGGTCAAATTTTGACCAGCGAAATTATGAAAACGCTCGTGGACAAAGCAGGTGGTATAAAACTAATTGCTGCTCTTAAAAAAAATATGTTTTAACAGAAAATTTATAAATATCGGGAAATCATTTAATTTGAACATTTTACAACCTTGTTTCAATAATGATTTGTACATGAAATTAGTATTCATGCACAAGGTTCAGAGGTAAAGTGTCTTCAATCACAGCTGCCAAATTTTGGATATCTGTTGTATTTATAATGTTTATATTAATTGGTATGTATAAGCCATTTCTTATTCTCCGTCTTACAGCACTCATTATTATTGCATTTAAATTTATCCGTCATACTATATATAATTTTGAAATATTTGTCGATGACAAAAAGATAGTTGCCACACATGATAAAAGATATAAATCATTAATATTAGCAGCTAAAGTCTTGGGTAACATCGTCATCGCTAATTCAGCTCTCATTATATGTTGTTTTATTAATTCTATGTGATATAAAATATTTAATAAAATGCTGAAAGACATTATTTATTATTTTATCAAAATATATGAGAAATATAATTTGCTATAATGCATCAATAGGACATGTATCCCCTATTAAAACTGTTTTGTTCCTATTTTTAAAAGATGTGTAAAAAGATTTCCATTTCTTAATCCCAATAATTTTTTGCCTTCTATTAATGCAAAATTTCAAGACAATCAGCTCCATAATAAGAACGCCTTTTTCTTGCTACTGGCTTATCCGCTAACCCTTTCCAGTTTTCAGGTATTAGATTTTCATTAATTGAAACTTCAATGTCAATCAAAACTTCGCTAATTTTAATTAAAATCAGAGGCCATTTCAATCTTTTCCTCCTTAATTAACTCGTTAAATTTAAATTCTGACTGTTGTACGATATCAAAGTCAATATTTTCTTCTTTAATTAAATTTGCAATTTTTGCAGCTTTCGCCAGTATAATCATACTTTTTATTTTGTTGAAATGCTTTCAAAAAACTTATCAAATGTAATGTTAATGTTTCAGATTTAAAAGTTCTATTTTATAAGTTGTTGAAATAACTTTCAATATTAGTCGTAGGGCAGTTGGTTGCCCATATTTATAATGTACTTGAATAATTTGGACCATAAGGGATATGTCCTGATATAATTGCATAATGTATCATAATATCTTGACAATAAAAATATTTTCTTCTTTTACAAATATTACACATTTCGATTTAGCTCTAATTTTCAAATTATAAGTTTAAATATTTTTATCAATTATAGGGACATATTTCAATTCCGCTAAATTCGCTAGTACATGTGATTATTAAGGACTCGATTATCTTTTCTGCCTGTTAAGGACCCATATTTAATTAATCTAGCCATTGTGCGAATATAAAACTCTCTAAACAAGCGAGTTTTTTTATATAAACCCTGCCATCTGCTTATTAATTTAATACGGTGGGCATAATCAACTCTAATATAAATCTTGAGCATGTTTAATTTTTGTCCTATTACTATATTAAATGAATATAAGCCTTTAGATTTATAAAATTCGCTAACGATCTAGCTACGCCGCCTAGTAAAACATAATGATCGGTTACAACTATTTTGGGAATTTTTGCACTACTTTGTATCCATATATTTAACCAAAGTGAAATATGAATAATATCTTGGGTCTCAGAAAGCATTTGCGCCACAGGTATTTGACCACATTTTAATTTTATTACGATTACTCCTGCATATAAAAAAAATATGGCCTGTTTAGGGAGCCTGTAGCATCAATTAGAAGTATCGATACATCAGTATCCTGACAATATTTATTGTATATACACATTTAATCTGACAACTAGTAATGCATAAAATTTTTATCAGATCCTATATTAATGATGAATGAAATATAGGATTCGATAAATTCTAAATGAATAGTGTGTTAATACTATTATTATCGGTTTCCAGATCAAGATCATTATCTAAAAATTTGCTTATATTTTCTTAGAACATTTAAAGAATAAAGTGTAGTTGGTTCTATCTCGCCAAATTCCATAAATTGATTGGCCTTTTCAACTAGCCAGTTTCAAAGCCTTTTTCTAATTCCTTGCCGATTTCCTTCTCAAACCACTTAATGGTAACAAGAGTATGCATATGTGATTTATAATTAAATATATCGCAAATCAACTTTTACAAAGTTTATCAAGTAGAACTAATCATATTTATCCTTAATACGGGCGTGCATTGTAAACACTGAGTTCTAATTTTTTTAAAAATAAATGGAGTAGGGGAAATGATAATTTTTAAACATCCCGGTACAGGAAAGTTTTATTTGACTGGTGTATTCTCAATAGTTGCATGGATACATTTTATTCCATTCATTGATTAAAATTACTAGTTCAAACTGTTCGTTTCCTATTATTTCGTCTTCAAATATATCTTCCTCTTTCCAACAAGTAATCATTAAATTCATTTTTGGAAACTTTTCTATGCAAATAATATAAAATTTATTAAATATAACATAATACATTAAAGTAGAATATTGAAAAATACTACTAACCGTTATATTAATTTATTTCGAGAATATTCCAGCAACTATTTTTATTGGAAAGGATATAGGTATGTATATACAGACTACGATGACATTAATTTAGCAAATGCATCACTTATCTTTATCCTTGTATCAGCTGAAGTTCGATTAATGTCCTTTATTATATCATTTTTGAAAGGTAGAAGGGTCTTATTTATAAATTCAACTAAGCATCGTAGTTTTGTTTGTTTTCTAATTATAAGTGTTAAGTAGTTGTAATTGTTTTTTTTATTTATAAATCTCCTTTAAACTACTTGTTTTGTTTTGATAATGACATTCAAAATTTAAATTGTTTTTCTTTTTTTACTTGTTTTTGTTTTGGTAATGACATTCAAATTTTAAATTATTTTTCTTTTTTGAACTACACCAATTGTGAATGACATTATATAATTTTATTATAAAAAGATCGAATTTCATTTTATATTTTCAGTGAAAAATTAATTTGATTCGTAAATAAATTAAATCAAAATGGTGGCAGTCCGCTAAATATTCGAGGAAATCGTAAATAAATAAATATGAAACAGATTCCCAACAATAATGTTAATATAAAT